GCAGGGGGGGAGGGCAGAAGGCCCGAGAGGTGTTAGAGATGACAGCTGGGTTTGGGGCTGAGAACTAGGCAATGGTAGGGCCACTGGATGGGGCGGAGCCGGTTTGGTAGAGAAAACTGAGCATCTCGTTTAGGGCAGGTTGATTTCATTAGGAAAAGGAACCGATTCTACCCCCGGAGACTCTGAGCAGATCATTTATTCAGCATCTGTGGGCTCATCCGTACGGGGTGATGAGAATACCCTTTCTACCGACCGCAACCTGAGTAAGTGGGTCAAACGAAATGGCGTAAACATGATTTTGTAAACCACAACGCGTGCCAGGAGGCCACGGGGTGTGTGGAGGAGACGCCAAAACAAGCTTTGGTGATTTAGCACCTTTGGTGAAATGAGTTATTGGGCCAAGGAAAGAAACCCAGATGATGGAAGGCGCCCCAGGCTGAGAGTCTAGACACTTATGTTCCAGCTCAGATATTTACCAGTTAGGTGACTCGGTGAAGTCACTTTGGGAGCCTCTGTTTACCCACCTCCGTAATGAAGCGGAGTTCAGTGTCATGCAGAGCTCATGAAATGGGAAATGAAATGAGATGGTGAACACGAGCAGCGTGCCAGAGGGCATTACTGTCACCTCACACGTGGAGGGCGCTGGGTGTTTGCTCGTCTGTCATAAGCTCATCTGCAGGAGTCGAGAATGTCACTTACCGTCCTGGGGCCCTGTCCCCGGCCTGACCGCTCAGTAAAGTTGGGTGTCCTGCTACGGGAATTTCCTGGGCACTCTCTTCTCTCCTATAGACCTGAGAGCTCGGAAGATGCATCTCGCCAAGTGCCTGCTCCTTCTCCTGGTCGGACTACTGGCCCTTTCTCACGATGGCCAAGGTCATACTCACAACTACTCTCAGGAGGCTCCAGGCCCAGGTGAGGGCTCCCCCAGCCTCAAGATCGCCCCGAGCAACACCGCCTTTGCCTTCAACCTCTACCACCTGATGGCTTCCGAAGCCCCCGAGAGCAACATCTTCTTCTCCCCGCTGAGCATCTCCGCCGCCTATGCCATGCTGTCCCTGGGGGCCCGCTCACACACCTGGACCCAGATCCTCGCGGGTCTGGGCTTCAACCTCACGAAGATGTCCGGGTCCGAGATCCACCAGGGCTTCCAGCACCTTCTGCACACTCTCAACCTCCCGGACGACAAGCTAGAGACACGCGTGGGCAGTGCCCTTTTCCTCAGCCAGGACCTACCGCTCCTTCCGAGATTCCTTAATGACACCATGGTCTTCTACGGGTCCAGACTCTTCCGCACCGACTTCCTTGACTCCAAGGGCACAGCCCAGCTTATCAACGACCACGTCAAGGAGGAAACTCGAGGGAAGATTGAGAACTTGGTCGATGGGCTCAGCACAGATACGATGATGGTGCTGGTGAATTACATTTACTTCAAAGGTAAGAGTCCATTTGTTGGTGGATCCTATATCTTCTTCACCCAATTTATCGATGAACTGAAAATTTTTTAAAACAGAAAGTGGATGCATTGGGTCTGACAAGGTCGAAGAGCCCTCAGAAGATTTAATGTTAGAGTGCCAGATATTTAAGATTATGTAGCCTTGAAGTTTCCATCCCTTTATATCTTTGGACATGTTTTCTTAATAACAGTAATTTATAAAATGCGTTATATCCAATGATCATGAGGTGAAGTGCTGGGTTCATAATGAAGCTCTGCGACTCACCTACAGCATCAACAGGGCAAGTCGTTTGCCTGGCATAAGGATAATAAGAGTCCCTGCTTCAGACTTTTATTCTAAGGATTAAATGATGTCTAATATTTGTATGCACCTTAGAAGAGGCTCTAAGGGGACGGGCAAACTACAGTCTCCAGCCAAATCTGCTGGGCCACTTGTTTTTGTAAATAAAGTTTTATTGGCACACGGCCACGCCCACTCCTTTATGTAGCGCCTCTGGCTGCTTCCATTCACACAGAGATAAGCAGTTGCTATGGAGACAGAATGATCTGCAAAGCGCTTTCTGGCCCTCTGCAAGAGAAGTTTGCCCAACCCCTGACCATTATGTGTACTCAATAAATAATTACAGTAATTGTGATTACTCTCATGATAATGATATTCATTTTGAAAACCTCAATAATACCTCAAAAAATAAAAGAGAAAATAGAAATTGCCCACAATCCTACCACCCTGAGGCAACTAATGTTAACATTTTAGCATCATTTTTTTCAGTTTTCGGTTCACACGCATATGTTAACGCAGTTGAAATCACAGTGTGGGGACCGTTTTATACAGTGTGTATCTGTCAGGGTCCCATCAGCAGAGCAAGGCCACCAGGAAGGTTAAGGAGAAAGGGATTGTTGTAGGAATTAGACCCGGCATGATTGGGCGGGGGGTGGGGCTGGAGAAGTGAAGTTCTGGAAAGAGATGGAGATGGAGGGACAGAGAAAAAGTCGCTAGTGTAGGTGGACAAGTTAGAGCTTATAAGGAATCTACGTGCCAGGCACATCCGGCCACCAGAAGGGGCCCGTGTCGGGGGAGCTTTGGAGAGGCCCATGCTGGACCCCTGGTGGTGGCTTGGTGACACTGTTGGTCAGCAGGACTAGAGTTGGGGCAACCAACTCGGAGGAGGGTGTGGATGAGCCGCAGCACGCGGGGCTCCTCTGGGTCTCGGCATCGTCCTATCTGCCCGTAAAGACCTTCAGCGAGCAGTGGCTGCTTCGCGTCGACCTCCCAATCTCACACTTGAACCTGCATCTACAGAGAATGGAATTCTGGCAAACAGTCCCAGACTGACCATCCGGCCAAACCGGCCATTGCCTGCATTTCCCGTGAGGAATTTTCATGCACTGTTGAAAACTTTGAAAACAATTTTTTTTAATTCTGCAATAACTCTAAATTCGTAGGAAGTTCCAAAGTAGTACAGAATGGTCCCATGTCCCTTTCACTTAGGTTCCCTAGATAACATCTTACATAACCGTAATATAATAGCAAAACCAGGAAATTGACAGGGGGTACAATCTACAGACTTTATTCAGATTTTATCAGTTTTCGCATGCACTCGTGTGTGCGCGTGTGTGTGTATGTGTGTGTGTGGTTTTATGCCATGGAGAACTTTATTTAGATCTCATCGTAGTGGTTGCACAATATTCTTCTGACTCCATCCCTTTTAAAAGATAATTTAAATGTATAGAATACACCATCACACCACCCAAAGCTCTAGCCAGAAATAATAATTTTTGGTGCTCTCTTCCTGAAAGATACCTCGATCCAACGAGGTTAGTGTTTGAGGCACAAGAAAGTAAAGTTCTTCAGAAACAGAAAGGAGGTAGAGACATCCTGCCCTCGGACACATCTGCCCAGCACTCTGGGGCTGCAAATGTAGCCCCAAGACCTCGGCGTAGGCCACATGGAACAATTGTGCTTATCCTCAAAAGTGAAAAGCACCTAGAAGAATACAAACAAAAGATGCTCGGGATCTCTGTAGATAAGATTATATTGAGAGATATTTTAAAAGACTTAAATGAAAAACAGATAAACTACATTCATGAAGAGGATAGTAAAGATGGCCATTCTCTCTCCGAATTCATCTAAATGTTTAATGTAATCCCAATCAAAACCCTAATGAGATTTTTTTTTTCTTTTTGGTGACAGTTATCAAGCTGATTCTAAAATGTATATGAGAATGCGAAGGGCCAAGAATAGCTAAGACGAGAAATCTGCCCGCTACAGAGCAAGACGTACTATAACTATAATTATTTAGACTGTGTGCTACAAATAGACTAATGGGACAGAATAGTGAGAGGCCAAAACAGAGCTCAGAAATGACCTCATGAATATAGGGACATTTGATACTTGTCAAAGCTGGCGTGAGAGAGCATTGGAGAAAGAAGAAATTTAAAAATTGGTGCTGGGACAACCAGGTTCCCTGATGGGGGAAAAATGCCTTCAGACCCTTGCCCCACCCCAGCAGTCATTAAGTATTTACTCCTGGTTGAGTCGAGTCCTAAATGCAAAAGGTAAGACAAAAGCTTCTAGAAGGAAGCATAGGAGAATGTCTTCATGACCTTGAGGTGTGGGAAGTTTTCGTAAGACGCAGAAGATCTAACCACAAAGGAAAAGATCAATGTCCACTGCATTGAAGTTTAGAATTTTGATCAACGGGAATGAAAAGACCAGCCAGCAAGGGGAGGATGTATTCGCAACACACATAGCTGATACGCAACTAGTATTCAGAAAGAACCCCTCAAATCACTGAGAAACAGCCCTATAGAAGCACAAGTTTAAAAGAAAAAAAAAAAACGAACTGGCATTGAACTAAAAACAGAGGACATTAGTTGGTCAATAAACGTATAAAAGGTTAGTTACTCAACCTCATTTTTAACCAAGAAAGTGCACGAGTTTCCACTAAATAAACACCAGCTTGGCAAAAACTGTAAGTGCAACAATTTTTAAGGAATTGGCGAAGACTTACAACAACTTTCCTGATATCCTCTGGTGTCTCTCAATTTCGAATCTAAGCGAACCCTGGGAGACCCCTTCCCCAGGCACCTCAGGCTGTGAATGATGTAAATGTACACCCCGATGAGATGGGAAGGTGGGGATCTGGGGTGATCGTGGGGGAGCGTTCCCTGGAGGGTTGGCTTGTTGGTCCATGGCCACTCTGCCCCTTCTCTTCTTCCTTTCAGCTCCGTGGGAGAAACCGTTCATCTCCTCGAGGAGCAGTCCAAGAGACTTCTATGTCGATGAGAACACAAAGGTCAAGGTGCCTATGATGTTTCAAGATAAGTACCACCACTGGTACCTTCATGACAGGTACTTGCCCTGCTCCGTGCTGAGGATGGATTACAAAGGAAACGCAAAGGCTTTTTTCATCCTTCCTGACCAAGGGAAAATGAAGCAGGTGGAAGAGGTTTTGACTCCAGAGATGCTGACAAGGTGGAACAACTTGCTCCAGAGGAGGTAATTGGGGTACCGCGTGGCGCGCTGTCCTTCAAACGGAGCCTTCTCATGAAGGCCGGTGCCCGAACGAGATAGGGAGCGCATGCCAAATGTCGCAAGAATTCTTATCCATTCAAAGACGTTCATAGGTTTCCTCAAATCCTGAGCTCTCCTGCTGCATCCAATATGTGATTTCATCAGTGACAGGAGAACCAGACTAGGAGTTAGGAGCCTTAGTTCAGGATGCAGCCCTCACACGGCACAGGCCTTGGGTGAAATGACATTGGCTCTCGAAGGCTCTACTGGCGTGGAGGGTTTTAAGAAAGCCCACTCACCCACTCCGGGAAGTAGCGAGGAAGTTTCACATCGCCCTGGGGCTATGAGCGGGTGAAAAGTCTCCAACCACATACAACACGAGGACCTCAACTCTAGGCCGTATGTGGATAGAAAAGTCACACCGTTCATGGGGCACAGGAATCCGATCCAGATAAATCATCTGGTTCCTAATGAGTGAAAACCACAAGGCCCCAACAGAGGCCGAGCAAGACTGCCACACGGGGAGACTCGCATCTCCCTGGGCACCTGGCACGGCCGCGGGAAGCCAGCTCTGCTGAAGACGAGCGCCTGAGCGGGGAGGTCCCGCAAACCCCAGGCCCCGGCCTCAAGCTCCTGGGGACACGCGTGAAGGGTGGCGCAGTCGGGGGCGCGTGGCGACAGGACCCAGGTGGAGGGAGCCAGCTAGAGGGGGTGCAGTCGAGGACAGCACAGCCCGGCCGCGGTCCCCAGCTCGCTCAGGACGCCAGGTGTTTAACTCACTGCCTCTTCCAGGTCTTTTTACAGGAAGCTCGAGTTGCATTTCCCCAAGTTCTCCATTTCTGGCTCCTATGACTTAGATCAGATGTTGCCCAAGCTGGGCATCAGGGACCTGTTTTCGCAGCAGGCTAATCTGTCCGGCATCACCACACAGCAAAATCTGCTGGTGTCCAGGGTAAGTCATCGGTGGCCATGAAGACCTAGAGGCCTCAGTGGGAACATCTGCCCCTCGGGAGCTGCTGGGCGATGGTCGCTCTCCCTGCCCGAGTCTGTGTGATTATCCATAGGCACGGACATCTGTGAACCAACACACCACATGCTGAGGGTGGCGCTTGGTGCTGGGGATACAGCATCCCCCCAGTCCCTGTTCGGTCAGGGTGGGGAGGCAGCGTCTTCATAGATCATGGCAATGGAGAGGGACAAACGCGATGCCAGAAGCAGAGGAAGGTCACAGCCGAGGCTGGGTGCGTGTGTATCACAGAGGTTTCTTAGACGAGAGAAAGGGACCTATGACTTCAGCTAAGTAGACAGAAGTGAACTAGAGGGCAGAGCCTCGGCTTTGATTGAGAGTTTGAATTCCAGTTCTTCCTTATGGCATGGAAGGGTCACTTAGCCTCTGAATATGTTTTCCTCATCGATAAGACGGACAAAATACATCAATATCATAGGGTGGTCTTGAAGGTTAGAAAGAGTGCTGGGGACATGGTAAGGGACCAATTAGTGATAGCTATCATTATTGTGTAAATAAGAGGTCATCCAGCTCAAAAAGCCACCCAACATAGAA